ATCTCCCTCTCGTCTAGCTGCTGTTCTCGGTCCCGAGCCCTAGCCGCCTCTGCGTAGATAGCCTGGAGTCGGGCGACCCTTCCGCCATAGGAGCGGATATAAGTATCCGATCCCTCGGGCTTCCAGCGTCCTAGCATATCTCTATCTGCCGGCGGGATTGGCTTTAGGCTCAGCCCGGTGGGTAGCACTGCTCTCTCACTGTGCTCCGACCAGTAGCCTCGGGCAATCGTCGGGATCCCCACCATAGCCAGCAGTCCCGCTGTAGCCACCATCGCATCTGCGTAGGTAGCCATCTTCTTCTCCAGGGCGCCTCTCTCGCCTAGCCTTGGCATGAGATAGTCCCGCTGGTAGCCCGCGTGGTTCTTTAGCAGGTCGAAGCCCGCCTGTAGCCAGCCAGGGTGCTCGAAGTAGGCTCTCTCCGAGATGCATACGGGTAGCTCTCGTATGCGCCTGTTAGCCCCGGTGGTTTTGGTCCGCCGAAGAATGGTTGATAGCCGACCTTCCACCATAGCCAGTTCGTTCGGGACCATAGCCTGAAGGTCCGACCACCGCAAGCTGCCCCAAACCTTCAGGAGCTTAGCCCAGGCCCAAGCTCTCCAGCCGACGGCCACAGTTGTATCCAGGACCAGGCGCTCCCACCTAGCCAGGATAGCCGCAGGATATCGGGGGGCTCGCCGCGTCCAGGGCGCCTTCCAGGATAGCCTCTCGACGACCGTATCCTTGATCGCCCACGCTATCCTGCCTGAGGTAGCTCTCGACTCGGTCGCCCATTCCGCAACCCTCTCTATCCAGCTGATGGCCTTGAGGATCGCCTCGGGGACTGTTCGCCCGCAGGGCTCGTCGCCCCTAGCCATAATGTAGTCGGCCAGGTCGGCCGGTAGCCCAGGGGGGCGTCCACTCTTAGCCTCCCGTAGCCATAGCCGCCATCTCACGTGTATCGAGACGTAGCGCTTGAGAGTGCTAGCCCGGGTTTTCCCCGCTAGCGCCAACACCGCTCTATCCGGGTCCAGGCACCCCTGTAGCTTCTTCAGCACCGGCGCCTCGCACAATTCTAGCTCTTCTTTCAACTTGATAGCCCAGGTTGCTTGTAGCCTTTCTTCCCTAGCCTGCGCCAGGGAGCCCTCGTTGACCAAGCGCTTCTGCCTATCCCCTTTCGGGGGCTCCGGCTCGCTATCTTCCTGAAGGTCGATGCCTTCGATCGCCGGCCGCTTGCTGAGGTTAGCCCAAGCTAGCGAAGTTGCTCTGTATCCCGACGATCTCTCCACCAGGTCTCTAGCTTCCTGGGCCTCTTGTATCCACAGGTAGATCGAGTCGCCGATGTACTCGTCGTAGCCAACGCCCAGCTCCTCAGCCACCTGGTGCCCAATATCTTCCGCGTCCTCTAGACCGAGGGTAGCCAGCTCAAGCACACCGAAGCCCCGCGACGCCAGATGCTCATGGCATCTATCCAGCACCGCACGCTTCTGCACAAGAGCGCTATCCAACAAGGACGGAAGACCGATGGGGGTCCCTATCCCTCCGGAGGGAGTAGCCGGCCCGACTTCCTGCTCTTCCGGCACAGCCGTGGGCAAGACGGTTGGGCTCCCTGGCTCCTCGCCCCCAGGACTAGCCGGAATCACCGTAGTAGCCGGAGACTGTGGGCTAGCCGTCCGCGAAGCAGAAGGGGGGCGCGGGGAGGCCATTCTCGCCTGGCTAGATAGCCAGGTTCCCCTTCTATTCCCCCTCTACTTCAAAATTACCCCCCCTGATGGGGGACTTGAGCCAGAATGGCCACGGTCACACACCGTCGTAGCCATTCCAAGTCACTGCTATCCTGTCTTCGCATGTCAGAGGCAACTCTCCTGCGAGCGACGATAGCGAACGAAACTTCGTTTCTAGCGAAGCTACCTTCGATAGCTTCGAGTAGTGATAGGTAAGCTAGCACACATAGTCGTAACTCGTTCCTCGTCACGAGGTACATTAACAAAATTGTCGACTTACAAGACTTACAGACTTACAGTTAGCTCGCAGGAATTTGCAATGCCCGCCCAGGGTCCTTTCACAGCGAAACAAACATTACATTTTGCCACTTGGGGAACTACTTTGTCTCTAAAGCTGCACCCGCTGCACCCGCCGAAGCCCCACACAACATCTCGTGAAGCCACTGCTAGAGTTGAGAGTTTGACAGCCAGCCTACGGCTGGATTTTTGAAGAATTGCCGATACGGGTTTGATACGGATTATGACAAGATTTGATGTTACGATTTGCATGGGGTCCTGTTGGAGGCATACATACAGTTTCCATTCGATTTGGATACGGACACGATTCTCTCGCGATTCTGATACTGCTTGGGGCGGGATCGTTTGCGGTTTGGATACGGTTGTGATGCCGACACGATTCTGATACGCTTACTGTTTGATACGATTCTGATATGACTGCGCTAGCGGCTGTGTATTCGGTTCGAGTGTTGTTGCCTTATAATGTGCGCCATCGTCTGGTAGGTCCGTATTGGTACCCCTGCATTCTCGCAATCGCATGGAAATCGTATCAGAATCGTATCCAAACAGTAATTATTTCGGTTTCGTTGGCTGGCTGGCAAGCTGGCGGGCTGGTTCAGTCGTCACATAATCGTAGCCAAACATGATTTCGATACGATTTCGCTGGCCTGGGCGGCGGGGCTTGTGGGTACAACCGTATGGAAATCGTATTAGAATAGCATCGCATCGTATCGCACAGGCATCAAAATCGTATCCAACCAGCATAGCACACATAGCACACATAGCACACATCCTGTGCAAATTTCACAACAACGTCCGTAACCAGGACCGAAACCGTAACGAAATCGCAACGTAAACCGTAACAGACGTGCAAACAACATGAAGCCCCGAAACCCCAGCTGCCCCAGCTCTACCTAGCAGTCGTACAGTCGTTAACAACTCGTTTCAGAAGCCATCTCGTATCCCCGACATTGTACCACTCCTTACGCTGAAACAAAACTGACAACGCTGGTGGACCCTGCTAGAGTCCGCTATGTCTGCTAAAATTTTGATAAAGAGTTGGTGGACATTCCCACGCCTCCAGAAACGAACCAACCTGACGCCGGAGCTGCGCACCGTCGACCACGTTCATCACCGGCTCGAGGATCGTCAGGACATCTGGCACGGTTGCACCAGTTTTGACGGTTTGCTTCCAATCCAAGTCCTCGCCTGTCCCATACTTCATCGTGAGCTTGGAAATGTCCGATGCAAGCTTCTCCAACTCACGACCCTGCTGGGCCATGAAGGATGCACAAGTGTCCTGGTACACTACACAATTGTCGAAGCCGAAGACTTCGAAAACCTTCAAGTCCAGGAGCTCCTGCAAGCCGGCACCGTTGGCGAAGTTTGCGGAGAGCGACGGTAGGTCAAGCTTCGACTTCGCATGTTCCAACTGCGCTCTCAGGTTCCTGCACTTGGACAGGACGCCCTTGACCTCCATCAGAGCAGGCATCGTTGGCTTTGAGGGGTCCAACTTCTCCACCTGGACCATGAATGTCAGGCCCGCTTGGATCAAGGCAACATTGGAAACCACAACGACATGAAGACCTTGGAACTTCTTGGCCCAGAAGCGCTTGCACACGGCGACCACGGTGCCCAAAGCCATCTTGCACTCCGCCTCCTTTTGCTGCGGCGGCAAGCCCTGGAAATCAAACATGAGAACCGTGACAGATAGAAAGATGCACAGATACAAAGTCGAAGACCCAAGACAGTGACATAGGGCTGTCTTCAGTCCACTAAAGTACATACCCGGTACTTACTAACTGTCCAAAGCCAGGGCGGGCCAAATACAACAGAAGTCCGACTGGAGCCTCCAACCATAATTTAATCCACTATGTGTACACCACTCCGCTCTGCAACTCTTATGATTGTTACTGATTGTTTTTTCCATCAGCCTGGTCGACGAGACGAAACTCATCGATCCTGGTTCCAATTTCCTGTTGTTCATGTTGCGGGATGCGAAATTTATGTGGCTCAATGTGTGTTCGGCTTTGCTGCCGAGGTTTGCCGCTTGCCGGCTTGAGGGGCCCCTTTTTGCCGATATTCGGGCAAGCATGAAGTCACTAAGAATGTGAAACATGTAAACTGTAAACTTATAAACATGATTATGAATGAATGATTAAACCTGAACTTGAACGTGCCTTCACATGCTTTCCGTGTCTGCGAGATTGTTTGTTAACTCGGGCCGCTCTGAACCGGCTTAACCCCCCACGGATACGCTTACACACTTAAGTATGTCTACGTATGTAAAACGACATGACTTTATGTGTGTAAATACATGTATATGTGCATTAGCTATACATATATATGTATATACGTTGTGTGTATATATACACACAACCATAACCATCAACATAAACATGAACATCTACATATACATATACACATACATGAACATCTACATATACACATACACTTACATATACATATACACTATACACTATACACTACGCACTACACACTATACATATACATATACAGATACATATACATACACATACACATACATAGACATACACATACACATACACACATATAGTATATATATATATACACGTACTTATATGTGTATATATATATATACATACCATGTCGACATACAAGTATGTTGCTACTGATCCTAAACTGCAGCATGTACTTCTAATAGCAAAATACATGGTTCATCAATGACAAACACTTCTGTTCTATCTGAACACCTGACACGAAGAATCAGCTGTCTTCAGCTTGGGGCTTACTGCCTGGGATTTGGGCCTTACGGCCTCCGGCCCAGCTAGTGGCTAAGAGGCTAGTGGCTACGGCTATGGCTTTTTCTGCTACAGTCTAGATCTAAAGTATCTGAAGTCTACAATCTAGTCCTGGTCAGCTGCCCCAAGCCTCACCTCATTTCGTCTAGATTCAACAACTTCTCTGAGGACCTACATTACGAGGCTCTTCAACGCAGACTCTAAGACTCAGATTTACACGACTGGAGCGACACGATCTTGCCTTGTCCATGGCAGCTGGGATGCCCTTAGCGAGGAAGGTCGCCAGCCCGGAGTGGAACTGCGAGATGGCCTCCTCATTGGCATTCTTCAAAGCATTCTCCTCTGGCAAGGACTTCTGCACCGCCTGGAAATCCAGATCTGTTCGTGCGCTTGCTGCCATAAGCCTCGTGCAGTCCGCAAGCGATCTGCTGTCCTTCGTCAGCGAAGCCCACTCCTTGAAGTCCCGCGACAGTGACTCCATGCCAGGTTGGAGTGCAACCGCATCTATGGCCAGCATGCGGAACACAAGGGAGACCCTCGCGTTGTCGATGCCGTCTGTTGCGTCGAGAAGCGACCGTGCGCATCCCGACACCAACTCACAAAGCTTCTCCTTTAGAGGCTCCAGTTCCAAGGAACGGACACTTTTCTGGATGTCCTCGAACAAATCGAAGATTTCCTGCAGGCGGGCAGTGGAGATGCTAGCCGGATTCGAGTCCTCAGGCAAAGTAGCCAGGAAGGTTTCCATTTTGGGCTGCACCAGGGCTCTCGAGCCTGCATGCCGGGTCACTTCCTGCACTTGCTGGCCCCACCAGCCTGCACGTGCAAAGGCAGCACGAATCGTCCTTTCAAAGTGCCGAGCACCATTGAACTGTGTGAAATGGAAGACGGAGCTCGCGGGGAGGAAAACGAGCTTGCCCTCCGGATCAACACTCCGCTCGTTCAAGATGTGGAGGATGGCTTCGCAGAACTTGCCGACGCCTGTCCAAGCATCTGCAACACCCTCGAACTCGCATGTCCTGGCCCACTCCAGCATCTCAGACCGAGAGCCCTTGAGGTCGAGGAATCCCTTGGCCAGCATCGAGTAGAACTCGAACGGGGTGTCATCCATCGCCATGATGGTCATCAACGGACTGCAACAGAACATCTGCCGAAATCCGTTGGCGATCTCCTGGGGAGCTTAACTGATGCAAGTCGTGCACTGTCGAAACCGCCCGGCCTGAATCACTGCAACTACACAAGTGAGAAAGTGGATTCTCTCGACATTTATGTTCAGCTGGCAGCTGCCAGCGCAAGCTGCAGTTCAGCGCCTGAGAATATGAGCATAGTACTATTCTAACATTGGTTTTCGCGAGGATTGGCTTCTGGGTCACATAGGCTAACCTGACCTTGAATTTACAAACACGATACCCGATGCCGAGACGGCACTGTTGTACAGTGTGACGTTAGTTCATTCCATTTTATCTGAGAACGGTTACGGCTACAGTTAAGGGGACGGGTGCGATGAAAGAAGAACAGCAGGAAGCATGGTCACCAATTGCATTGTACTGATTGTTGGATTTCGAGCTATCTTCTGAGGCAATGATTGAAACGATGACACTTTGGAACTTTAAGAGACAAACAACCAAACTCCCCTTTCCAGCTTCATGACAGAAACTTGTGCACAGCACGTGGGGCCTGGTACAGAAACGTGGCATGAAACAGAACCGCAGCCTAAGCCCCAAGGTACAGCTAATAAGGTTAGTCTTACTCTTAATGTTAGGGTTCGTCTTCGTCTTAGGTCCTTGTCGTACTCTTGGTCCGAGTTTCAATCAATGTCCTTATCTTAATCTTGGCCTCTGCCGTAGCCTTCGCGTTGGCCCTGAGCCTTAGCCTTAGCCTTCATGTTGGTCTTAGATTCGTGATTCTTGGTCTGAAGCTTCGGTGTGTTTAGGCTCTGCCTTAGGTTTCGTCTTCAGCCTGAGGTCTTGGTCGTATACGTCCTAAGTAATGCTAAATCTCAAGTCGAGTGTTTGCATAAGACTGCAGTCTTGAGTTATAATCTAACATCTCAAGTCGTAAGTCTTAAATGTCGTGCTGTTATGGTCTTATGGCCTTGTGGTCTTGTGGCCGTATAGCCTTATGCCTTATGGTCTTATAGTCGTATTCATAACCTTACACTCATATAGGCTTTAGAATTTGAAACCAATCCAGTCTGGCCGAATACAGCGTTGTAGTCTTATGCCGGTCTTATAGTCTTATAGCCCTAGCCCTTGCCGTACTCTTAGTCTTAAGTCTTAGTCATAGACGTCATAGACAACAAGAAGTTGGGAAGCCCCTCCTCCTTGGCATCTTTCACATCCTGCTGGACATCGACAACCTCCTGATTGCCCCTTCCAAGCATTACCTCCCCGTCCTCGTTCAAGTTTGCCTCCAGCAGCCCGTCCATCCCCAAACTGTTGTTGATCTTGAACATGGTTGCCACGATGACATCCAGGCGGGGGCAATCGGCCTGGAAGTCTTCATCCAGCTCATCCAGCGGCGTCTGCCATTCGAAGAACGACAAGAACTTGGCCAATGGCGTCTTCCACTCAAGGTCGTCCTTGTTGACGGCCTTCTCCTGCTGTTTCTTCGAAATGGCGATGTTCTTCGCCCGCACACAAGCGTCGGTGAAGGCGTCCAGAGCGAACCTCATCGCAAGCTTCACTTGAAGCACAAGGGAGAAGTGACGCCACAAGTTTTTTGTGGCTGCCAACGCAGCTGTCAGCATCTTGATGTTGCAGGTCGGGATGCCGTCGTGGTTGGAGAGCATTGCCGCGTACTCACACATCACCAACCGCTCGTTCAGCAAGGTCACCTCTGTGCAGTGCGGATCCGACTCCTTCATGGAGTCCAGGATGCGCTTGGCCTCATAGGTGACTCAAAGGAAGACTCCCTGTTGCATTCCTGTAAGATGCTTGTTTAGGGTTAGGGCGGCCTTTTTGGTGACAAACGACCATCTCACTTGCTCCACCCCACAGCCCCCAGGTGCTGATTTCATTGCCATCCTTGTCGTTTAGCTTTTACAGAGCGAAGAATGCGGAAAAAGTAGCACCTGTTCCCTCGACTGTACAGCCAAGCACCAGGTACCCTTGTTTAACTTTCTTACTATCCTAGCAGCCTAGCAGCACCCATCCTGCTGAAACACGGGATTTCAACTTCTGTCCGGGCTACGATGACTATGTGACTGCAATTGTTGCACCAGAAGCCTTCAAGAGCGGCGTCCGTGAAGGCCACACGGCTCCGTGCACTGTTGCAAGCCGGAACCCCAAAGCGACTGCTCGAGACTCCGTGGTATAAGTTCGTCGCCTGTTCCACGGAACCCTTGCTGCGATGTGGGCCGAAGAAGTTCGAAATTGAACAAACCCGGCACTGCTCAAAATCAAGGAATTGTCCGACATGTTTTCCTGCGCTCTCACGTCACATATGAAAGTAAGTTTCTATGCATGTCTTTCAAGATGCTACTGGAAGATACGCAGGAACGGCTGTTTTTTGTCCATGCCCATCCCGTTCGAGTCTTTCAATAGAGCCCCTTAATGGAAGTTTGTTCAGTGCACTGCACCACTCAACAGCCCCAAAAAGAGGACTTTCCTGGTCACGAAATTGTGGCTCCGGTTATTGCACCGTTTTCTTGTTCAATGGTTTAGGTTGTTCGGTCTACGGCTTTGGGTGCGCGACGGTTGTGTATGATCCTGTTCGTTTTCTTCTGTATGCTCTTTGGAGACTGAAACAACTGTGTATGACCCCATTCGTTTTCTTTTTCAACAGTTTTACGGTGTTGGGTCTATAGGGCCTAGGGTTTTGGGTGCGCAAGGGTCGTGCATGACCCCTTTCGTTTTCTTTCTGCGTGCTCCTTGGAGACTGAAACACCTGTATCTGACCCCATGAGTTTTCTTTTTCAATGGTTTTAGGGTGTAGGGTCTTGGGCTTTGGGTGCGCAAGGGTCGTGTATGACCCCGATCGTTTTCTTCTTGATGCTCCTTGGAGACTGAAACACCTGTGTGTGACCTCATTCGTTTGCTTTTCCAACGGTTTTAGGGTGTATAGGGTCTTGGGCTTTGGGTGCGCAAGGGTCGTGTATGACCCCGTTCGTTTTCTTCTTGATGCTCCTTGGAGACTGAAACATCTGGGTGCGACCCCATTCCTTTTCTTTTTCAACAGTTTTAGGGTGTTGGGTCCAGGGAGTCTAGGGCTTTGGGTCCGCAAAGTTGTGTGTGACCCCGTTCGTGTTCTTCTGTATGCTCTTTGGAGACTGAAACAACTGTGTATGACCCCATTCCTTTTCTTTTTCAACGGTTTTAAGGTTTAAGGCCGTGTAGGGTCTAGGGCCTAGGGTCTAGGGCCAGAGTCTAGGGCTTTGGGCGCACAAGGGTTGTGTGTGAGCGCAGTGGCCGTGCAGCGTCAATTGCATCACGCTCATGGCTTGATCAGTCCCCGGAGACGGAGTCTGTATTAGCAACACCTGCTTACCCAACATCTGACAAATCCGACGCAGGTTCGCCTGAGCTTACACTTACACGCACTACCTTTCACTACACTGCACCTACACCTACACCTACACCTAGAACCTGCGCTACGCAACGTTGCTTCCGACAACTACGATGATAGTGACAATGATGTTGGCATGTCGATACATGAGCACACTCATGATGATGAGGATGGGGATGTTAATGATGATGATGATGGTGATTATGTACACTCTCATCGACTCTGAAAGTCTCAAGTCTCAAGCAAAGCTGCTCCAGTGACAGAGTTGGAGATCGCCTTGGATGAGTTGCCTTCCCTCAGGAACGTCATCGGATGGAGCACCTCCAATGACTTGACCGATGAGTTTGGACAGCAGGCGAGGTGCTTCTTGGCACAAGCCCTCATGTCGTCATCCGGCAGTTTGCTGAGTACGTTCTGCTTACCACCCGCCGCAACGGTCGACTCGGACCTCTGATCATCTGCGACTCTCCCTTCGCCAGACCTTCGCCCGCCTGCTGGACGCGATCCTGCATTTGTGGAAAACACTGCTGAAGGGGCTGACGGGAACTCCGCAGCAGCTGCAACCTGCGCGGGAACCGGCTGTGACGGCTGTGACTTCGCCTTCGCCTTCCCCTTTGCAGCAGGCTTCACCTCAAAAGCCGCGAACCCCACCGCCCGTCTCTTTCCGGCAACGGGATTGGGTGCAGGGGCGTCCTCATCATCCGACGGGACATCGTCATCCAGTTCGACCGGCCCGGTGTTACCGGTGGTGTTGCGGGCAGCTGCACTGATCTTGTCCTTCCACCCCTGCAAAGTGAGGGGCTTCTCGGCCATGGGACGCAGCTGGGAAGGTCGTGAATTCATGTGGTTTGCCTGGATGAATGAAAACACTCTCTGTCCTTGTTTTTTTTGCAAGGTTGTCCGCGGCGGCTAGGAAAATGTCTTTGGCGTTGGCCCCCCAATCATAATACACCGTCACCTTCTTGCAAGAGTTCATGATATCGGAGGGGAGACCGTACATGTCCATGATGTAAAAGTAGCTCTTCTGGTCGGGCTTGGCCGAAGGCAGGGCGATGCATTCGACCTTTTTCGTCTTCTTGAGCTCTGCCGGCATTCTCCCAGCAATGGGACCCATCTCCTCATGAGTGAAGACCGCAAACGTCTGCTCCATGCGCAAGCCATAGGATTGATGTGTGAACACTTCAGAACTCACCCCGAAGTCTGCGACCTCTTTACCTGCAATGATGTCACGGGCTGCATCCATCTCGACGTGAAACTCAGGATCCTGGGAACCGTCTGCCTCGTTGTAAAAGATGAGCAGCATACACAGAGGTACCCCTGGACGCAGCTTGGCCCCGGTGTCTCCACAATCCCAACACATTGCGATTGTCGGATGTCCAGAAGCATCTGTCTCCGCGAAAGCCTTTGCCTGGTGAAGTGCCGGCATTCAGCTCTCCTACTTACACATTGGATCTCTCGGACTCCGACACGTCTAAAGTCTACAGTCTACAGCTCTCGCACCTTTCGGATCCTAGGATTCGAGGACCTCTAGACTCTAGACTCGGCTTTACAGGATTGTATAATAACTACCACAGTGCCCTCGGGCCATAGGAATCCCAACCTAGCACCTTTGGGAAGCCAGACAGGGAGCAAAATTTGTGTGCAGGGGCACCGGACACAGCACATAGACAGGCATGGCAACTCGCTACAGAGCTTCGAAACACAACAGAAACCCAGGGCAACAGCCCCGTTGTTCCTGATTCCTACAACATGGGGGTAGGGCACGAGCTTCCAAGTGTGTGTGTGTGTGTGTGTGTGTGTGTGTGTGTGTGTGTGTGTGTGTGTGTGTGTCTGTGCGTGTCTGTGTGTGGGTCTGTGGCGTGTGGGTGTGTTTGTCTGTGCCTCTGTGTGTGTGTGTGTGTGTGTGCGTGCATGCCTGTGTGTTTGTGTGTGTGTCCGTGTCAGTGTGCGTGTGTGTGTGTGTGTCTGCACTCTGCACGTGCGTTTGTATGTGTCTGTGTGTGCGTGTCTGTCAGTGTCAGTGTCAGTGTCATGTCTCATGTGTTATGTGTTGTCTGTCTCTCTGTCTGTGTGTCCGTTTGTCTGTCTGTCTGTCTCTGTCTGTCTGTCTGTCTGTCTGTCTGTGTGTCTGCCTGTCTGTCCGTCTGTCTGTCTTTAATTTACTCCGTCGTTCTTCCGATTGAGCAGAAACGGCAGCGCTAAAATAAAATGATTAGTGAATCTATATGCAGCGAACCGATATACATAAATGTATTGCACAAATTCCTTCAGGAAGCCACACTCGCACTGTCTTCATTTTCACTGGTGACGTCGGGCAACACTCCAGTACCGACATGCTCAACCGCGGCTGCGATTGAGACACATCGTATGTGCAAGCAAGATTGGCCGTCAAGGGACTCAGCAGTCCACACGCACACAATCTACGGCAGGCATAGTCACCCCTCGATGGGACTAAACAGTCTACAATGCACATGGTGCTGCGGAGCACAGCCTGAGAGGCCCAAGGCAGGGGGGAAGCCAAGCAAGAGCACATTCTCAAGTCGACAAGCCGGAGACACCAGCGGCCCAAGAAGCAGTAGTAGCAAGGGCTTGCGTCATTATCACTGGGCGGGCGGGCGGGACAAAAATTTCTGCCCATGCCCATGTTGCATGCTGTTTTCACGTGCTCCCTTGAGCATGTCCTCGCGGCGGCGTACACCAGCATTCACAAGTTCAGGCTGCACGCAAGAAGTGTTCAAGGTTGCTCGCAACATAAAATCACTTTGCAAATTTTCTTTCCAACTCAATCGGAAGAAGTAAAACTAACCTAGTTTTACAAAACAACATCGTAAATTAAAGCGCTATCAACCCGTTGACCGCTAGCATAATTTACTCCGTCGTTCTTCCGATTGAGCAGAAACGGCAGCGCTAAAATAAAATGATTAGTGAATCTATATGCAGCGAACCGATATACATAAATGTATTGCACAAATTCCTTCAGGAAGCCACACTCGCACTGTCTTCATTTTCACTGGTGACGTCGGGCAACACTCCAGTACCGACATGCTCAACCGCGGCTGCGATTGAGACACATCGTATGTGCAAGCAAGATTGGCCGTCAAGGGACTCAGCAGTCCACACGCACACAATCTACGGCAGGCATAGTCACCCCTAATTAACCGCAGTCCTATGCAAGAATGTCATCGAGCGTTTTTGCAATTGGGGTTGCCTTGATAGTTCGTGCTCTGGTCCTCATGGCTTTGACCAGCTCTCTGGACAAAATGTCTGATGGGTTCGACGGGCTCGGAACGCGAGCTATCCAAGTGTTTAGGCCTGCCATGTCTTCCACCGAGAGGAGTAACTCGATGAGCATCTTGCCTGTGTCGTTTCTTGCCCTCCCCGAAATGCATACGTCTCGAGCACTATTATTATCCACGTAGGCAACTAATGCATGATGCATGACCCGTTTGCGCCAAAGCACTATTGCAGCGATGTACGCCACAAGTTCCGCCTCGAAGATGATGGTTTTCTTCCTGGCGCTGCCGAGCTTTTCCATTTGTTTCTGGTCTAGCTCATACGAGAAGAAACTCAGCATCTCGCCCTCATGGTCATAGAGCACGCCGCCTATGCCGCACTTGGGGCCCTGAGCGCTTACCTCGTAGGCGGCGTCAGTGAAAATGTATCTCGGGGTGTGGGCTGGTCTCGCCAGCACACGTGGCTTTGAGTCCCTGAGAAGCAGTGCATACCGATTCAAGGCAACAAGAGCGTCCTGCCCAAGTTTCGTTTGACCCGACGCGATATGCGTATCCAATTCCTTAAGACAGAGCTTGCTGGCACGGCCAAAGACTTGGCCGTCGGCAAATTGTAACCGGCCCCTGAGTCGCTGTGCATCTCTGTTGCGCAGCTCATTGCTTTTGACCGCATCGGTAAGTGCAGCTAGAAGTTCTTGTACCCTGCTGTCGGTATTCCCAACCTCTACACGTCCGCTGCTAAAATGTTCCAAGTTAAACCTCACCCCCAATGATTCAAACGTGCTGCCAAAATCCTGCGCCTTCTTCCCCTCCTCCGCAAACTGCCACCCTAAGAGTCTAAAGAAGCGGGGAATGTGGTCGGCAGTGAAGGCACAATCTGATTGTCGTGCTAGCGTGGGGAAGTCGTCGAAGTAGCACGTCCATAAGAAGCCCAGGTGGCATCCGAGCGTCCACACCGAGTGCACAGTCCTGAGAAAGGAGTGCACACTCCTTACCGCTCCGAAGGGTAAGGCTTTAAGGCGATGCACTGAAGGTTGACCCGACTGCTCATCATGGAACGCTACGTAAGCATCCTTTAGGGCTTTAGGGCATCCTCACTTAGGCCGAGCTGGCGGTAAGCGGACTTAAGGTCATAACTTCTGCCTTTAAGTTTATCCCTAGGGAAGGATTCCAAGCATTGCAGCATCAAGCATGCCAGCACGTCTGTCGTGTGTGGTGACTCGCATGCCTGCACGGCTGCATTCACGGAGCTCCCCGACAAGTCATCTATGAGTCGCACCTTTTGAGATTCACCGGAACCCTGCGATAACCCAAACCTTCTACTGACCAAGGCCTCATCCTCCAAGTCACTAGGACTGATCGGCCCTTCCAACCAGCCCTTGTCATGCTCTTCGGCTGTTTTGCGTTTCACCTCCCGATCCAGCTCGCCTTGTGATCGCACCGACTCCAAGACGTGCTTCCTGGATTGCGATGCTTTGCGATGGACCTCTTGCGGTGATGCCGAGGCAGGCTTGAATACTTGGGGGAACAATCCCGTGAGTGGCACTTGACCCACTAAATCAGTGCCGTTGATCATTTCTTCGACCACTTCCATATCCTCGTAGCCTATGTCCTGCAGGAGCTCCTTCCACAAGAGGATTTTCTTAGGCCCTAAGATGTCCCTTAGGTGGGCTGGCATCTCGGCTTTGAGTGCCGCCTCACTCTCCTCCAAGGCTGCCGCCCTGGCTTCCCACTGCTCGAACCACTTTTCCCTAAACTCAAGCAACTCTTTAGAAGACAAGGATCGGTTGAGTTCTACAGCCTTATGAAGTGCCCGCGGCAAAGGAATTTTCAACAGTTTAGGGTGTCCCGCTTTGCATGCGGCCTGAACAAAAGCATCGGGGGAGTAGGGCACGCCCCACGCCTGTTCAAGAATGGGCTCAGCAGCACTCGGAGTCACGGCAGAATCGTTGACCCCCCTTTTAACCGACACTGGTACAGTTCGAAGAAGTTGCGCATCGGCCGGAATGCGGCGCACAGAAGCAGAGCAGTCTGCGGGGAGATCCCATGGTTTTGCGAGGCGGCCCATGGGGGCGCACGGAGCAGTATCTAGGGCCGACTTCGGCCCACGAACCAGCAGGACGGTGCAATGTTCTGGCACGAGAGCGGGAAATTTGGCCGCAGCAGGTTGAGGTCCAGAGGCCGCGCGGCAAACAGACAACAAGCTAGCTGGCTTAGGCAAGGCGTGGGGAGGTTCCCACCCAGTCTGCACTAAGTGAGTCGCCACACAATGGGCGATGGCAGCCGCCAGAGGCGGCGGGTAGGCTGTTTCGGCTTTGGTTGCAAAGCCGGTGGGAGTAAGGCCCCAGGGCTCATGTCGATGTTCCGGTGACTGTCCGGGGCAAGAGCGCTGCAAGGATGAGAAGGCATCATGGCTGGCAGCTAGGGTCGTTCGCTTCGGGCGTGAGCCGCCGAACATGCAGTGGTCGAAGGAGGTGCGGAACGGGCAGAGATGTGCTATGCTCTGAAAAGGTGTTGTAGCCCAGAACCAAGAGCGGTGCGGATTCTCGCAAACGAAGAGCACGTCACGACGGTGGCATTCCAGCGCAACTTTGGCCAAGAAGGCATATAATGCATTGGCTGCCTCGACTCGTTGTTTATCGGAACCTTGAAGGTTTGGCAAGCCGTCGGGAAACTGGGAAGAGCGGAGAGGTGGTGGGGCGGGAATGGGCACGCCTGAATCATCGCAGATCGGGATGTCCCGCGCACGGCTAGAGGTGCCACAAGGTGGGGCTGCTACCACAGCTGATAGCAGCGGATTGCAGAGCCAGAACATGGCCAGATCCTGGCCATCTTGAGTGGTCAGATCCGCAATCAAGGGGGCACACGCCGCAGACTCGATATGTTTGTGGTCAATGCCGTGGGCCGTGACTCCCAGGCGGCGGAGGCAGGCCGTGACACCAGATGTGCCAGCGAAGAGCTCGAACACAACGGGAGTGGCCGGAGCCTTGAAGACGGGACGCGGTATCGGCACCATGGTCCCTTGTTGAATGACGTCACCTGTGGCCAGGTCAGGGGGGCTAAACCCTAGGGAAACCAATGTTGACTGATCAGCCTCCGAAAGGGCCGCGAAATCGCGGACTACAAACCCGGCTAAAACTACCCGGTAACCATCCCAAGGCATGGTGGCATGCCGCTGATGGGCATCAAAAGTGAT